CCCCCACTCAATAAGGGACTGCTCCTGACGTCCCAAAAACAAAAGTTCAGGAGGCCGGCCATGAGCCTTCCTGCCACAGAGGCCAAAGTCAGGAGAATGACCTGGAGAGTTCAGTTATGTGTTAAATTTGTTTTCAGGCATGTACCTGTTAATATAAAATCATCAAGTTAAGCAAAACAGTCACATTTAACAATCTTTACAGTTCTATCATAAGACTATACCATGTGTATATAATTAAAATCAGTATATAAACCTAAACCCCAATAATTTCATCAGGAGGAGGAGGAGGAGGATGATGATGATGATGATGATCATCATCATCATCATCATCATCATCATTGCTCTTCATGAGTGTGTTTGCCACTGATCGCAAAAATCCTAAAAAGTGTAGTATTTCCCCTTTGTGTTTTTCCTGTGTGCACACATGTCATCAGTCACTCTCCAGGGCTGATCTGAAGTCAGCTCCTGACTTAATGGGCGTTGAGAGTGCAGCTCGCCCAGGGTGACTCGCAGGCCGTTGCCATGACACTGGAAGGTGATGGTGCAGAGCTCTCTCTGGTTCCATGCGCTGCAAACAGCAGTGAGGACATTTCTGCCTGTCTGGTCTCACATCGTATGGCACCGTCATCATGTCTACATGCAAAAGGATGTCAAAAGACAGCACTTCATGGAAAGGAAGGTAACTGAAAACAGAAGAAATAATGCTGATTTGGAAGTATTTTTCAAATCTGCTGTTTGTGTTATAACTTGTAGTCATTTTACAGATGTACTTCAGCGACCTCGCACCACCCAGCCAACTTCCAACACAGGATGCATGCTGAAGATTGCATTGGAGCAAAAAAAAAAAGATGAGACGCTACACAAAGTGACAGCTCCTGCATCCTATTTCATCTTCTTTTACAAGCTGCCCTGCCTCTAGTGCTCTGATGAATATTTGATGGGCAGTCGGTGCTTCGTGTGCATGCTTTAACTTGGGTCCGTACAACTGCAACACTTAGAGAGGCTGAAGTAGCAGCCATTTTCCACCCACACTTTGCTCTCTGGAAGGTTCTTTAATGCATGCATGCCACTGTTAGGGGAGGTGCAGTTTGATTAAATCTGTTAATACCTGTGTTTGTTTGTTTGTTTGTTTGTTTGTTTGTTTGTTTGTTTGTTTGTTTGTTTGTTTGTTTGTTTGTTTGTTTGTTTGTTTGTTTGTTTGTT